GCGTGCGTGCGTGTGTGTGTGTGTGGTGTGTGTGTGTGTGTGTGTGTGTGTGTGTGTGTGTGTGTGTGTGTGTGTGTGTGTGTGTGTGTGTGTGTGTGTGTGTGTGTGTGTGTGTGTGTGTGTGTGGTGTGTGTGTGTGTATGTGTGTGTGTGAGCCACTCGGTGTTTAAATGGAATTCGACAAGAGCGGTTTACCCACACCCACACCCCCAAAAAAGAAGGTTTAGATCCGCCCTGTCCATTTCCAATACCACATATCAGCACCAAATCGCGGTGATGTAAATAGTGCTCCGTTTCTGCTATCAGTATAAAAATCGTATGGTGGAAAAAATCTACCGAGAGTGTTAGCTGACACAGGACGCCGCGCAGCTGATGGAGGCTGCAACGCCGGGCGTCGGCTTTTTCCTAAAACTTCCGAGCGTTTATGTGCTAAGCGATACTACGTTATTTTCCTTTTGATGAGCGAATCTTGCTATCTGAGTGGCTGAAGTTTGAACCGTTGCTGACGAGCGTCGGCTTACCGTGTTAATAAAGAATATTGACCCCACTCCGACTTACACGTCACGAGGCTCTCAATATAGCTGTAGAACCCAGAACAAACTTTTGACAAAGCCTCTGAGCTCTGCTGGCCTAGAAAATTGCTTTTAAGCATTCTAAAATAAACACCAACGCCCACCCTCTTCATTTTATCGACATCTAAATGCAAACGGAAATGCGTCTCTTGGTACGTTGCCTGATTTCTGCTCCATTTAAAAAGTAACGACAATACATCTAAAAGTAGGGAATTGTGTTCCTCCGAAATTATGTGGGCCAAATCCGGTTTTTTTATGGTGTGTGTGTGAAGTGGGGGGGGGGGGGAGGCTTTCATCATCAGAGGTCCTTACCAACTGTGTGATGGCCCCTCCCCTTCCCCCCCACCCCTTATCAACGCCCAAAGGTTGTGCCTCTGGTCGTCCCAGTTCGCAGTAGAGTTCCAATATTACCTAACTTGAAAAGAAACAATGGGCAATATTTAAAGATCACCTTGAATCAACTTCCTTCGAAACGACTCGTTAAGTTATTAAGTGTTTTTGCTGATATCACTGTCATTTTATTGTGGAGCTGGCGGGCTAGCTTCAGTCACAAAATGAATGCTGAATGATTACTCCATCATGAGCGTTGGACGATAACTATCGTGCATAGTGTAAACGCCCTAAAAAAAAACTACGAGCCGCTGCCAACTATCCTGCCTTGCGCCTGGCCTCAAGGCGATATACATCGGGCGGAAACCGTCTCGATAGCACACTTCCCAGCAAAGATCCCCATGTGACGTCACTGGGGGGGGGGGGGGGGCACCCTTAACGCTTGGACGGCCGCACGCGTGGTAACGGGCAAGAGAGATTGCATGTATTACAACACGCTTGGTCTGTGGAATGACTTGAAAGATCAAACTAACTATGACTGAATGAAAAGCTCTTGCACTTAAGCCTAATTTTGAAGGAAATTCAAGAGCTGAGGTGGTAATAAAGGACTCAGGAAACAAGCTATTCCAGAACGGTTCGTCGCATTTTACGCCAAAGCAGCGCTCGACGTAATGGCTTTTATTACTCCGGAAATACCAGATGGACTGAAAACTGCATCCCCCGGTTGACAGTTCATTTTGCGCATCACAAGTGCCACCCCCCCACCCCCCGGGAACGTACCCCAAGCCAATCCACGGCGCCTCTGCCCGCCAGTTGGCATTTGGATTGGACCTCGGTTTGGCAGATAGAACTCGCTAGAACACAATGGTCGTATCGATGTAGCCTATGGTGGTGTACCGGAGCGGGCGCGGGCGTATCTCCCATCTCCCTGGCTGAGAAATCTTTGAAGAGCGGTTGGGTATAGCAACGCAAGGGGTTTGTACGGCTACTAGACCCCAAGTTCCTTGATCGGGGTCCCTGAACCGGACCTGGCCGGGCACATTCGTGCGGCTCCATCTAACGGGAACAGTCAGGTCAATGCACACCGGGGCCTTGTCATTCACCAGAGCTAGACGCTGACGACTGCCAGGTCAATGTACGCCGGGGCCTTGTCATTCACCAGAGGGGCCTTGTCAGACCCTGACGACAGCTGGTTTCATGATGCGAAAAGTACCGCCGGTTTATTCCACCTTTGCACGGCAAATGCTGGATAAAACCCGCTTACTCCTGAAACCAAATGCAGTCTAGTAGTCCATCACAATCCACGCTTATCAAATTTTGGCTATTCATACTGAATGCAGCGGATGTAATAACAACGGCATTTTTCGTTTGACAACAGCCTTCACTTATACGACTGCCGACTGTGCAATGTCATCTCGCAAACGCAGAAGCAGAATCAGATGCACTCCAGCGTGTTCGTGATCTCCACCGCTGGCTGCAGCAGCCGGAGTACCGCATGGATGATGCCAGCATCCAGCTGGGACTTGGAAGCCACGCATTCACCTTCATAGCCTGCTGTCTGAAGGCAGGGGACGTTCATGATATGCTGGGCGAATGCGCAGGTTTTCCGGCTGATGGAACGTGGTGCAACAGCATTGGCCACATCCAATCCTCATCGACCCTTGGCTAGTCGATGCTGCCTGCGCTGCCAAGTTGGGTGACTGAGTTGCTGCTGGCTGAAGATGCCCTCGGTCTGAACGTGCTGCAGATTCCGAGTATTCCGCACAAGCTGACACGCCTGGCGCAGTGGACGAGCGATCACCGAGGCCTGTTGCGACGGTTAGTTCGGTGCTGTGCATGCGACTTCATTTGTCGAAAATCAGACGGGCTTGCTCGCGTCCCGGTGATAGATGCAAGCCTGATGATGACAAAGGCTCCAACAGTGAAAACGCACAGCGCGGAATGCCTGGCTGTTAAAGACCCGAACAGTATATGCAGCTTTTTCCAACCACCACATTTGTTATTTATTAAATGCCCAGCACATGCACCAGAGGCGTAGCCAAGCCCTTCCCTTTCAATACGGACTCATCCGGCCAAACTATTTTAGAACCGAACTGGCTTAGATTGAGTCCAAGTGTTCAATCACTGGTATGAACAACTTTGAATAAAGCTATGAAAGTACCCCGATTCGTTGGGTGTTAAAATGCAGCTTGCAGAGTGCTGACATGTGGTTCTGAGTGAAACTTTAAGAACATCCAGACCTACTGAGCTGACACGAAATGACGATAAGTGGAAGCTGAAGATACTTTGTGCTGTTGCCCCCATCAACGTAAAAGGCCCTCTGGCATTTGGGCTCCCGTCACTATCCCTGCTCAGCAAGTGTTGCCCTGGCCGTCTCGGGGCCCCTTGTCGACACCAGACCCTTTTTTGGCACTGTAGGCCCATGACAGACGCCCTCATTATTTCAGGGATCCAAGACGCCCTCATTATTTCAGGATCCCGGCCAATGCAAATCGTGGTCCGGGGCTTGCCCGCGCATCGATAATGGACAATCAGAGCTCAGAACAACTTGGAGCCGATTGTTCCGTGCTTGTGGTCTCTGGTGGATAAAGAGGCCCGAACTGTCCCACGGATCCCCAATCGATGCAGAGGCCCTCTGCCTGGCCTTGGCGGTCACGTCCCGACAGGCGGGGGTGTCCTTATTGTGACCTACGGCGTTCAGGTCCTTTGTTCATGCCCTGGCCCTTTCTTCATACCCTCAGGCCCTTTGTTCATGCCCTTTATGC